CGAGTCTCGTGTTCGTACCGTAACTTATTGGGATCACTCTCCAGTTGTTTGAGCTCCAGTACGTCCAGGACGCGCTGTCGGAACCACTCATAGGTACGATTCGGGTCGCTGATCTTCATGCGCTGGTATTCGTACATATCCTGTTTCATCCAGGCATGTCGGCGAATCTGCGTGCGAAACAAAGATCCCAATATCTTTGGGTCGGGTGCCTCGCGGCACTCCAACAGTAAAGCGTCCCAATCAGTAATGAAACGTTGCACATCTTCATCTCTCATCCTCAGTTCTTTGAGGCGCTCGAAATCATGCAGGTCGTCATCAACCTCAGTCACTCTGTAGGACTGTAGGATGTGCCAGTAGATCTGGCGTCCTTTGAGCATGCGTCCTGCTTTGTGCTCTCTGGTTTCGATGAGCCTGATCTGGTAGCGCAAGTCTGCAGATAAGATGTCGCTGAGAGCAGTAGCGAGTTTGCAATCGATGCTCTCGAAGTCTCCACTGTCTTGTAAGTCCTCAAAGGTACATTCGGGCTGTTGGGTCGCGCATAGGAAGGCATATGCTCAGGATGGTCGCCCGGAGGCGGCTCCAAAATTATTCCGTACCTTTTGCTGCCACTCAAGCAGCTGCGTGATCTTAGGCAAGACAGGGACTCGGACGGTGTCTGACACCTTGATAGGAGTAGTAGTATTGACCGAAACCGCAGACAATGGTTGTGAGGGTATCGGTACACCGTCAGTAGTTGGTTCTGTGCGCACGGGAGACACGTGGCGTGTCTGTGCTGAAGCTGCCGCGGAGGCTGCTCCTGGTGACGTGCGTCGTTGTTGTCCGGCAGAAGCGTGTGGTGCTTCGGCGGACGCTGCCGTCGGCCTGTGCAGGTCGGTTGCAGGTTGAAGGTGAAGTATGGTGTCGTTGGTGTGGTCAACCAGCTGATTTGTCCAGTAAGTCATATCCTCGAGCATCTGGTCCACCTTTTGGCGTGTGTACTCATCAATATCCCGAGAGCGTTGTGAATACCGGTCAAGTCGTTGCTCGTAGGCTCGGAGACGGGCGCCGTGCGCCTCCAACTCACTGTCCAGACGTGCGAGGCGCTCCTCAACACGTACCTTCTCAGTATCTCTCTCACGAATAACCTGGGAGAGCTCGGACTTCGCGTGGTCCGCCGCCTTCTCAACCTCCTGCAACCTGTCAGTGAGGCGGGCGAAATCGTAAACCGTGGGAGGAGAATCCAGCTGCGCAGTCTGGGCTCGTCCGACGCGCAACGCTGCCAGGGCGTCCTGTACACCGGGAAAACGCTGCTCGATTTCAGAGATCCGGTTAGCGAGTGGCTGCACGACAGCGTTGGTCGCATCAAGCCTTTGAGTGATAACTCTCTCAGTATTCTGCAACATGCCGATCAGGTTCGACGAGTGGGCGTGTGCCTCGGTGCGAAGCGTCGCCGTAGTGTGGTCCATGTGGGATCGAAAATCGTTGATCTGAGACTGAACGTCGCCGAGGTCGGTGGCCTCGGCTGGCGGTGGTCGGTTGCGGAGCTGGTCGTGGATCTCGTCGTGGAGAATCCTGACTGCTGGAACGCCTGTGTCGCGTACGATCACAAGCTGTTGCTCCATCTGCGCGAGGTAGTTGCGCAGGTTCTCGACCGTCGCTGATCGTTCACCTGAGTGTGACATCTCACGGTCAACCTGGTGCTGCAGCTCACCTAAGATGCGGCGGTCCTCAGCGATCCTAGAATCGATGATCCCTAAAGCGCCGTCGAGATCTTGGCGTAGAGCAGCAGCGTTGGCAGCGTTCGTCTGAACGCTCTGCGTCAGTCCAGAGTACTGTCTGGACACGAAGGTTTCAACCTGGTCTCTGAGCTCATCTATTTCGCCTGCAGCGGACGTTGCCGCCAGCAGGTCATCGGAGATGGAATGATGGGGAGCGTCAGCTTCCCTCTGCACCCTCTCGCGAGGAGCGCATGGCCTCTGTGAGGCAGCACGCGGGCTCGACCTCCTCTCGTCGTATGGGCCTCTGGCCCCACGACGGTTGCGCAAGGACGAGCTGCGGCTAGGGCCGTGTGTGTGTGGGTGGTGTGTGGTGTCTGATGAAATGATACCTGGGGGTACTGCGTCTGCGGCTGTGCCGCCACTGGTCTACTGAGTTCCTCAAAGGTGGCTACGTGCTCCGCTACTGGAGCGGTCGCAGGGCTAGTCGTGCCAGCGCCTGTGGTCCATCGGCGGTTAGCGCGAAAGCGCCCTGGAGTATCAGGGCCAGCGGGGCTTGCGCCCGACGCAGTTGGGATTGCTCCCGACGGAAGAGGAGATGGAGGATCGAAGGTAGGCGTGTGAAATTCTCAACTGCCTGCTCCTATTCCTTTTCTTGTCCCCCCCGCGGGCGGCGCGACGGCGAAGTTCATCAGCTAGCCGCGCCTCGGGTCCGTCGGATCTGGGGGGGGAGGGGGGGGGTACCTGGGACACCTACACGGTCCACACTAGGGCTCTCCAACTCATCGCCGAGCCGTCGCGCCGCCGGAGAGCTCGAACGCGAGGCCCCGATGGGCCCCTTACGGCGCATGCGCCGCTTGGGTTCCATCGAGGCCGCGTGCGAGATCGCGACGCGGGGTTCGATGAACTGTGAGCTTTAAAGGGCGGATAACCTGTGTATGGGGTTAGAGCACAAAGGTAAAGAACCCCTGGTCCGTTGGTAGAGGAAAGGAGGGAAAGATGGATATCTTTTCCTCCTGCACGATCAAAGGTCTGATCGATCTAATCCAATACCTGAGCCCAAACGGCCAGGCGCAGGAGAGATGAGGATAAGGAGTATGTATGAGGGTACTATACGGGTTCTATTCACAGGCGAAGCTCCAGCCTTATACTTCCTCCATGTTGAGGCCTCAGGAACTCAAATGTGACGACAGTTACAGGAGGCCGATGACCCGCCTCAGACTCGAACGTGAAATGTGGGTCCCGTACGGAGGGGGCTCCCGTCTGAGACGTCTTCGCAAATCACACTCAAAGACGAGGCTTCCGCCTGATACTTCCCCAGATTCAAGCCTTAGGGACCAAACAATGACGACAGATACGTACAGGGTTCGGATGACCCGCTCGGATTGGTAACATGACCTGCGGGCCCCACAGGGCGGGGGCTCCCGCCTGAGACTTCCTCGCCATTCACTAACAAACGAAGCTCCCGCCTGACATGCCGCCCATATGCAGGCCCCACGAGCCCGAAAGTGACGACAATTAAACGGTTCCGATGACCCGCTCGGATTAGTAACATGATCTGCGGGCCCCAGAAGGAGGAGGCTCCCGCTTGAGACCCCTCTCAACTCACTCACAAACAAGACTCCCACCTGATACTTCCTCCGTCTTCAAGCCGCAGGAGCCCAAAAGTGACGACAGTTACAAGGTTCCGATGACCCGCTCGGATTCGTATCATGACCTGCGGGCCCCATAGAGGGGGTCCCCGCGTGAGACTTCCTCGCAAGTCACTCACAAACGAAGCTCCCGCCTGATACCTCCCCCACATTCAGGCCTCAGGAGCCCAAAAGTGACCACACTTTACAAGGTTCCGATGACCCGCCCGGATTGGTAACGTGATCTGCGGGACCCATAAGGACGGGCTTTCGCAGGAGACTTCCTCGCAATCCAATCACAGACGAGGCTCCCGCCGTATTCATCAGGCCTCAGGAGCCCAAAAAGAACGACAGTTACAGGGTTCCGATGACCCTTTCAGATTGGTAACATAATCTGCGTGCCCCATAGGGAGGTGGCTCCCGCCCGAGACTTCCTCGCAATTCACTCGCAGACGAGGCTCCCGCCTGATTCTTCCTTCAGTGTGGGTGTGAGTGGGTGAGTGAAGGCGTGAATGAGCGAGTGGGGGAGATGGTGCTGGTGATGATGATGACGATGATGATAATTTGTGTGCGTGGGTCGGCAGGTGGGTGAGTGAGTGCCGAAGTGCCTGAGTCAGAGATGCTAATGAGTGTGTAAGTGCGTGGGTGTGTTAGTGGATGAATGAGTGGGTCAGTGAGTGAGTGTTTGAGGATGGTGTGTGAGTGGTTGAGTGTGTGAGTGGTTGAGTGAGTGTACGAAGGGAGGAGAGGAGAGGGGGAGGAGGAGGAGAGATCCTGCGCGGAGGGTGCCCAGAGAAAACAAGAGCCCCACTTAGTATGTGGGAAACAATATTGCCCCTGGGGTCTGTAAAAGAAGGGTCAAGCGGTCAGAGTGTTCAAGATGGCGCTGAATTGCTCCAGGATGCCCCCAGATGGGCCCAGCTGGCATCCGACATTACACAATCTGTGTCAACTTGGCCCAGTATTTCTTCCAACACGCTCTGAAGAGGTCTCACAACTGCTCCAGTATGGCTCGAAGTGGCCACGATTCCTCCCACAGATGCATCGGGGATGCCAACACCGTTAACACAAACATCTGTGTGTGCAATCTTGTTTTATGCTCCCGCAGCTGCGTTTCCGATCGGCCGCTGCGGCCTCAAGATGACCTTAAGGCTTAAGGCGGCTCAATCTACCCCGAAGAGGGCCCCCTAAGGCGGCCCCCGAGGATTCCACGAGCACCCCAAGAGACCCTTAACAATGCCTTAGAGTGGTCGTCAAGGGAGTGCCCCAATAGAGTAAAAGGAACACACGGCGCCCCAAATTGCCACAATAATGTAGCCACCAAGAGGCCCCCCGGGATTCATAAGTTCACCGTTGCTGGGGGCTGCTCGGACTGACCTTAACTTCGGATTGGCTGGTTCTAGTGTCCCCCTCTTGGTTTCACGACTTCTCCCCCATCCTTCTCAAGACAACGCGCCTGGTAACCGTTTATGGATGGGGTGGTGTGCATACTTTTTTTGGCTCGCGGCTCCAAGGAGACGTCCAAGGAGCGGGATTCACTCCTGGGGCACAGAGCGAGATAATTGGCCGCATAGGCACAGGTGGTGTGCATACGCGAAGAGTCAAAGATTTTGATGGGGTGGGCACTGGCGAAGCATGCGACTCTCCCAAAGAGTATGCGGTTGCCCCGGTGGACGTGATCTTTGCAGGCAACACGCACAAAGCCAAGAATGCGAACATGAGCACGCCCACGTTGAACATCCGCTCACCTGGTGTGTGGGCGGCGACTGTCCTTCTATCTCCTTCACCTCCTGATATTCCTCCTGCTTCTCCTCACCCATTTCTCCTGTTGTTTCTCCTGTTGCTCATTTGCGTCCATCTCATCCTCTAAGAATCAGTATCGTCCTAATCCTACATCTTTCTCTCATCCTAATCTGGCTTACGGGTTCTTCTGCTGCTGCTGCCTCCCACTCACCTTCCTCCTGTCCATCCTCAGTAACCCTTTCCTCCTCCGCCCTTCTCATCCTCGAACTCCTCCTTGTCCTTCTCGCCCTCCGTCATCACTCCTCCTCGCCATTCCTCCTTTCACCCGAAACTCTCTGCATCGGCCCATGGGCTCGCGGCCTGGCCTGCCATGAACGCCCAGTCTACATGGCGCTCACAACGTCCCATCCCGAGCACATCTGGAAGTGATAAGAGACCCCTTCCTGGCTTGCTCTTCGCCAGACGGCTTGTCTGTCGCGTAGCCTCAAACTCGACGGCTTCATGGTGGCGCAACGTCGTCGTACGGCCCTGCGTGCTCAGGCAGCATGGATGCGCATCTTGGGGCAGGGGTCCCCGACACTCTGTATCAAGCCCAAGCTCTGGCTGAAAAAGCCGGGCAGGTCCGCGGCGTGTAGCCCACCTGCTCTGAAAGATCTGCTGTCAGCTTCGTTGCCGCCTCCATTCAATATCTGTCACCCTCCTCCTGCTCGTACTCACATCCCTCTTCCTGGCAGTCATCGCCTACCCCCTCCAAGCATTATCCCTTCTTGCCTGTCCATTTCCCTCCTCCTCTGTCCCTTCCTCCCTCATTGTCCTCCCGCTCCTCCCACGGCTCCTCCTTTGAATTATCATCCTCGTTCCCCCTCCTCCCCCTTTCTTTCTTCCTCGTCCTTTCTCCGGTAATCACATCTCCCAACCCCCCTTTTCACACCTCCGTCTCCACCACTCCTCCCCCGCCCCAAACCCTGCAGCCTTTTCCGTCGCCCTTCCTGATCCTAACCACCTCCGCGCCTCTTGCCCCCCGCTTCCACCTCCATCCTCGCCCCTTACCAGCACCTTCACGTCGCGCAGACGTGTTGGTAGGGCGGATTTGAAATTTCGCTTGAGACTTACTCATATCAGTTGTTCAAAAATGAGAATTTACAGCAACCTCAAGGGTTGGGATCGTGCGGTTCCGAAAATGTCGCTCTGGCCTTAAAGGTGTGAAACTATGTAGAGGTAGCGCCGCGCACGGTCATGTTAAGAATTTGCAGCGGTTTCAAGAACGGAGAAATGATGCGTTTGTCGACATGTGGTTCTCGCCTCAACGCCGCGCGCATTCGCCTCAACATACTGCAGCGCTCCAAGGGGGCAGAGCAAAGGTGATGTCAACATTTGCTCTCGCCTCAGCGAAGCGCGCACCCGTCTTTGAAACTTGCAACACAATCAAGGATGGCGAACGGCTCTTTTCCGAAATGGTGCTCTCGCCGTAGAGCCGTGCACTCGTCTCAACAGCACGTAGAAATTACCAAGATGTGACATAGAACGTGTTCAAACTGGGGTTCCCGCCTCGACGCCGCACGTATGGTTTCAATGCGACGTTTAAACATTGTGAAATGTTGCGCGTTGCTTCCACACGGAATGGTCGCTCGGTACTTATTTTGCTTTACTGATCGTCTGGAGCGTCAGCACATGTAGAACTGCACGGATGCAGGGCGGCCATTTTCCAAAATTGATATATCAATCCCCCGTGTTTGTTTGTTTCTCTCTCTCTCTCTCTATCTCGATATTCCGCGACGCTCATGGCCAACACACGCGATCCTGTGCACCGTTGCGCGGGCGGGGGTGGTATCGCTGAACACTTCGTTGGACCGCATGATCATAATGTAATGTTTCTGGCTGCGCGCCGCAAATATTCAATACTTTTCCTTTTCAAAGCGGGGCCCTCTATTCAATGACATGCGCAACTGCATCGGTTTGTCAAAAGGCGGCGCTGTTTGCAATGCGAAGGCAAGCTGTCAGGGGCGCGTGGGTAGGGGACTTAGGGACATGAAGGCGTATGACACCATCAGTATGTATTTGGGGTTTGCTTTGGTCCAACGCCCCCATTATTTTCCTGCATGTTTGTCCCAGTGCAGAGCTTGACCTTCGGAATCATAAATTAGTTTCTTTGGTGAACTGGGTGGCTCAGCCGGATTGATGAGCGCCCGTGGGCGCCTCGCGTGCGCTTTTTCGCGCTGGGTGGGCCAGCGAAACTTTCGCCATGTGTCCACCCGTGGGCGCCTCATGGGCGACTCGCGCGCCCACTGGATCATCCAAGGCTTCGCCTTTGACCCACGGGCGCCTCGTGCGCGCCTCGCGCGATCGGCAGGTCAGCTGAAGTCTCGCCTGGTGCCAGCCCGCGGGCGACTCGTAGGCGTTCCGCGAACTGGGTGGGCCATCCGAGGTCTCGCCTGGTGCCTGACCGCGGGCGCCTCGTAGCCGTCTCGCGCGGCGGGTACGTCAGCCGAGTTCTCTCCGCGTTGCACACCCGCGGGCGCCTCGCACGCTAGGTGGTTCAGCCGAGGTTTCATTTGTTGGTCGCCCGCGGGCGCTTTGCGGCCGCTTCGTGCGCCTGGTAGGCCAACCGAAGTTTCGCCTGGAGCCTGTCCGTGGGCGCCTCGTAGGCGCCTCGCGCGCTGGGTGGGACAACCGGAGTGTCGCATGCTGCCCGCCCGCGGGCGTCTGGTGCGTTGCGTGAATCGGCCGGAACTCCGTCTTGATCTCGCGAGAAGGGGTTTCGTTGGCGCTTTGTGCGCTGGGCGGCCGCATGACTTGCATTCGTAGCTTTCACCGCGCGGCTTGCGCCGGATAGCTCGGACCACGCTCTGGATTCAGGGATGCATAGGCCTTCGGGTCAAACGCCCCTTTGGCTTGAAGGGCATCGGCCATCCTATGAAGGCGGCCGAATTCACTTGAATAAATAGTTACTTCCGCATGCGATCGGACGGAGGGGTGGCGGAGAGCGCGCGCACCGTGCGCAGGCAACCCCTTTGCCCCAACGTCGCTCGGCAGCCATGAATGCTGCGGAAACGATCGAAACATAAAACCCCATCCTCATCTCGATCCTGATGACGCAGGGGAAGACAAACAAAGGGCGGGGGGGGCCGAGGAAGAATTCGAGGGCCCCCGAAACCCACGCCGGGTCACCGCTCAAAGTAAAATGCGCAATGGTAATCCCACACCCCCCGCCTAAGAATCCCTAGCGGGGGGTCCTTAGGTGCGAGTTCAGCACGGGACCATGCCCACGAAAACAAGGGAGTAGAAGAAGCCCTAGGCCCCCAAACAAGAGCAGCCATTTACGGGAGTGGGGGGAAACAGAAGGAGACGCCCCACCTCCTCAGGAGGTGGGCTGGACACGCTCGACCCCAAACTCACATGTCGTAGTGCCGGGACTTCACGAGAATACATGTGATGAAGGTTCCGTAGCCGCAGAAGACGCAATAAAATAAGGACAGGATGGCAACGCACTTCAAGTCCATCGCTCCGCGGCGGCGCGAGGGCGCGAGAAGGAACGAGAAATTGATAAATACGAGGCCAGCAGGACCAGCGTTAGCTTTCGCTGATGCTTAGCGACGGTCTTCACAATCGCGAGTCCACCTGCCACGGTCCCAAGTACCTGTCGAGTACCAATCGCTGCTCCGCCGATCCGCTCGCCTATAAGGACGCGGTTGGTTCTCCCACAGGCGATAGTTCTCGAAGTGCACATGCTTCGTGGGCTGGGGCGTGGCTGCAGGATCTCCTGAGCTCGAGGCCGCAGCCTGTCTCCATGGCTGAGCATCGGCACGATCCTGACGGCCCGACAGCGGTGGATACCATCTGGAGCCGCGCGCCTGCGAGACGTATGGCTCCAACACAGCCCAGGAGGGGGAATACGAACCGATATTTCGAGCCTTTCTCGCCAGGATGGCCCCTCGAGCCTCCCAGAGGCCCATGAAGCACTTCCAGGAGGCCCCAAGAGGCCTCCAAGAGGCCTCCAAGAGGCCCCCACGAGGCCCCCAAGAGGCCGCACGAGGCCTCAAAGAGATTCCCAGATGCCCCCAGGAGTTCTCCAAGAGGCCCCAGACAGGCATCCCAGGAAAGCCTCAAATACATGCAGGAAGCTCCTGACCGCCGAGAGGGCCGCGAAAAAACAAAACTCGTCGCATCCCCTTCAAAAACAACATGTTCAGCCGATTCACCGTTCTCATGCTGACAGCGTCGACGACGACCCTGGGGGGCACGAAAATCGCCCCGGCCTCCAAATCAAAACATCCGAACTGTTCCCCCCCAGATGGACCCAAGAGCCCCCCCCAGAAGCCTCAGAGGCGCCTGCAACAGAAAAACAAAGGCGTCCAAGCGGCTCCCAAGACGCCGCCGAGAGACCTCCATGAAGACCTCCAAGGCCCTCCAGATGTCCCCAACAGCCCTCCAAGAGGCCCCCGAGAAGCACCCCAAGAGCCCCTCAAAAGCATCAAAGAGTCTCCTGACCCACGATATTGCGGAATGGCGTCAACCACTTGAATCATCCGCCGGCCCCCTGCTAAAGCCATCTGGCTGCGGGGCTTAGGCTTTCGGCTGCCTGCTCCAGTTCTATTTTGCCACCGTCCCTGGATCGCGTTGCCTGAATTCACGTGGGGCGGTGGGGCACGCAAAAGTACGTGACGTTCGAGCGACCAGAGGCTACCCCTCGCAAGTTATACAATATTCGCATTTTCGAAGCCACGATCTTATAATACATAAACTAGATTCGCGTACACGAGGCTAGGATCCCTGGCAAATTACGACAGATTCGCGTCTTCCCGGCCACCATCCCTGGTAGGTTACACAATACGCGGGCCCACGAGGCCACGACCCTTTTGTAAATTACGCCATGCTCGCGCTCCTGAGGCTAGATCTTTAATACATTACAATATCAGAGTGAAGGGGCCGAACGATCATTCATTGTCCCTGGGTGCGTGGCTGAAGTGGGGATCCGTGGCGAGAATTCTGCTTGTTGCGTTGTTGC